ATGTGAATAATACAGAGCAGTCATATTGCCCTAGTGTTCACAAAGCAAGGAGACTAATTAGGAAGAAGATAGAAAAATATAGATTGTGAGTACTGTGATATTATGGTTTAAAAGGGGAATTATATTTGTGCAGATTGGTATAATTTGACTGGATGAAGTTTATGGCTAGCTGTATCAAAACAAAACAAAACAAAAAACAACAAAACAGGATTTCAGGTAAGGATGCCTCATGCACATTTGAGAAGGACTCATTAAGAACCAAATATTTCAGCTTTGAAAATAAATATCTAATCCTGTTCTGTTTCTGGATGTTTACATTTTGTTGTATAAAAAAATGACCTCTATGGAATTATGATTATGGAAAAAATACTTCATTAGGTTGAGTCATTTGACAAATAGAGACTGTGTAGCAGTGGCGTACACATGACCCATGGGGCCCCGGTGCGAAAATTGATCCGTGGCCCCCCCCCACCCCCGCGCTTACTCGGCGCGGGTTGGGGCCGCAACACATGGCAGTGGGCACCTGGTCGCAGGGGTCGCAGGGGTTGCAGGGCTGCGACCCCGCGACCGCGGTATGCACACACACTTAAAGGACCACTACAGACACCCAGATCACATCAGCTCAATGAAGTGGTCTGGGTGCCAGGTCCCTCTAGTTTTAACCCTGCAGCTGAAAACATAGCCGTTTCATAGCCGTTTCACTGAGGGTTAATCCAGCCTCTGGTGGCTGTCTCATTGACAGCTGCTAGAGGAGCTTCTGCGAGTCTCACTGTGAAAATCACACACTAACACACACAAACACACACACTAACACACACACTAACACACACACACTAACACATTTTTTTTTAATTTAATCCCCCCAGCCTCCTTACCTTTTGGAGTGCTGGGGGGATTCCCTGGTGTCCAGTGGTGCTGCTGGGCTCCTGGGCGGGTGGCCGGTCAGGCAGGCGGGCGCTCGAGGGAGCACTCACTGCTTCCTATTTAGCTCCCTCGCGCACCGCGTAGGGATGCCGGCGCCGGAAGATGACGTCATCTTCCGGCTCCGGCATCAGTGCGGTGTGCGAGGGAGCAGAAGAGGAAGCAGTGAGTGCTCCCTCGCGCGCCCGCCTGCCCGACCGGCCACCCGCCTGCCGGGTGACAGCAGGGCCAGCCTCTGGGGGCCCTGGGGTGGTCGGCTCCTGGGCCCCCCAGGGGAAGAGGCTGGCCCTGTGGCTATATACCGGGTCGCAGGGGCGGCCGGGCGACCCTGGTATGTACGCCACTGCTGTGTAGCATCCAAGATGACAAAATTCTTTATATTCTTATTTCTGGAAATCACTTTCTCATAGCACAGTCTATTGGTTTATAATGCATTAAGATCACTCTTATGTTAAACGTTTCACCAACAAAAACACAGTCTTTACTGCTTTAGAAGAGAGAGTTAAAGAGGCAATTAACTTAAGAAATTAAGTAGTAATTTGGAAGTTTGACTCATGAAATTCTACAATGCAAAAAAAGAACAAAGCTACCATCTCCTTTGAAGCATAATAGTTATACAATCGTTTTTTCAATGAAATAAAGCCTAGCTCATAGATATTCAGATAAACCTGGAAGAATTTTAATTAGCAATCTTCTGCATGAAAAATACCAGCTGAGCTCTCCTTTGCTAAACAGCGCTGAGAACTTTATAAGATGAGGAGTAAATCAAGGTTTGGCTACCTAAAAGAAACTCTAAAATGTTGTAAAGGTTATGATGCCAGGAGTACCCTGGCCTGGTTTCCTGTTAATGGGACAAACCATTGACATTTACCGGGGCTTTTGCAGGCTCTGATGCTCCCTGGTGGTCCAGTGGCATGCTTCCTGCTTCTGAAGAGTTTTCAGTCTGGGCTGGGGAAATAGCCAATCTGTCATTCTCAGCCTCAAGTTTGTTGGCAACAGGGCAGAGCCAGAGGTAGAGGCTAGAGCCTGGGGAGCCACAGGAGCAGGAGACTAAAGGTAGAATGAGCCCTGTGGACATGCACTCAGAGGTGCGTGCACTCACTGGATCACTATGGGGTAGGTGGGTCAGGTGCTCTAGAAGAGTGCGCTTGCCATTTCCATTAACTCAGCGGATTGACAGCGAGGTAGGTGTTATTTAATTGTTTCATAAAAGCCTTAATATAATCTTAAAATAACAGTAAGAGAACAAGATAATGTTTATACACTTGGCCGCAGCTAGAGCCTCAAAATACTTGCGGTGTTCATGACATAGCAATGTTGTATCACATATAAGAACTCAAGTGTATATTTCAAACTAATTACCTTGTGACCCCCTGTATTTAGAACCCTATAAAGTATTCAGGAGGGCATTGATTTGGAATATTAGGTCAAAGGTCTTAATGTTATTGGTACGATCCATGTAATGAGTTTGATAGTAACTGACTGAGGGATATAAGGGCTTGTATTATACAATGTGTTGCTATCCCAAGTTAAAGGGACACTCCAGGCACCCAGACCACTTCTGCCCATTGGAGTGGTCTGGGTGCCAAGTCCCACCACCCTTAACCCTGCAAGTGTAATTATTGCAGTTTTTATAAACTGCAATAATTACACTTGCAGGGTTAAGTCCTCCTCTAGTGGCTGTCTATCAGGCAGCCACTAGAGGGACTTCCATGTTCTTAGAACACGAAAAGTGTTTTAAACGATGCTGGACGTCCTCACGCTATGCATGAAGACCTCCAGTGTCGCCGGAATCCCCATAGTTACATAGTTACATAGCTGAAAAGAGACTTGCGTCCATCAAGTTCAGCCTTCCCGACAAATGTTTTTGCTGTTGATCCAAAAGAAGGCAAAAAACTTGGTCTGTAGCGCTTCCAGTTTTGCAACAAACTCTGACAAAATTCCTTCTTGACCCCAAAATAGCAGTCAGATGTCTCCTTGGATCAAGCAGCTATTACCCCACTTATTAGAAATCATATCCCTGTATGTTATGTTCTTGCAAGTATTTATCCAATTTCAGTTTAAACATCTGTATGGACTCTGATAAAACCACCTCTTCAGGCAGAGAATTCCATATCCTTATTACATTTACTGTAAAAAAACATTTTCTTTGCCTTAGATGAAATCTCCTTTCTTCCAGCCTAAATGTGAGGTGCTGTTTTTCCAAACTAAAGAGATTTACATTTTTTAACCTTTCTTAGTAACTAAAATGCTCCATTCCTTTTATCAATTTCGTAGCTCATCTCTACACTTTTTCTAGTGCCATGATATCCTTCTTTAAAACAGGTGACCAAAATTGCACAGCATATTCAAGGTGTGGTCTTACCAGCTATTTATAAGGAGGCAAAATTATATTTTCATCCAGAGAATTTATTCCCCTATTTATACATGACAAAACCTTACTGGCCTTAGCAACTGCAGATTGACATTGCATGTTGCTGCCTAATTTGTTGTCTATAACAATTCCCAAATCCTTCTCGTGTGTGGTTATCCCTAATTCACTACCATTTAGGGTGTAAGTTGCTTGTGCATTCTTGACCCCGAAGTGCATAACTTTGCATTTCTCTATGTTAAATTTCATCTGCCATTTTAGTGCCCAATCCCCCAATCTATCCAAATCCCTCTGCAGCAAAGCAATATCCTGCTCACATTTTATTACTTTACAGAGTTTTGTGTCATCTGCAAACACCGAAGCATGGCTTTCAATGCCCATTTCAAGATCATTTATAAATATGTTAAAGAAGCGGTCCCAAAACAGAATCCTGAGGGACACAACTTGCCACTTTTGTCCAGCCTGAAAATTTACCATTAATGACAACTCGTTGTACTCTATCCTTTAGCCAATGTTCTACCCAAGAACAAGAATAATCATCTAGACCAATTTCTTTTAGTTTGAAGACTAACCTATTGTGAGGAACCGTATCAAATACCTTGGCAAAATCCAAGTAGATCACATCCACTGCAACACCCTGATCTATACTTCTACTTACTTCTTCGTAGAATGCAAGGTTAGTTTGACATGACCTATGTTTCATAAACCCATGCTGATTATTTCTAATAACAAAGTTCTTCCCAATGAATAATGCTTTCCTATAGGGAGGTCTAATGCGCACGCGCGGCCAATGCGCATTAGGTCTCCCCCTTAAGCAACATGGGATGTAGGGTGGGAGGGATAGGGGCACTGCAGGATTCTGCAGTGCCAGGAAAACGGATATGTTTCCCTTTTGATGCGGATGTGGAGCCATTTAAATATGCCAACTATACTTGTGCTGTAGGGGATTATGAACTTGGTGGTAAGTTCAGAAGGGATTTCACCTGTTTGAAAATAAGAGCCCTTTATGTTTTCCCTGTAAGGGGAGTGATGCTCCAATGTGGGACTTCCATAATCATAAACTAAAATATACAGTAGAGCATTATTAAGTATTTACAAATATAAAACTCTAGTAGGTTGGTCCCAATATTTGTCTTTTACACAATACCCGACCCACAATACATAAATCAATGGTATGCACTCTTTTGGTCTGATGACCCAGAGAGAATGTAAATAATATACAATGATGCTTATAGTCATACCAGTCAGGAATTTCCAATGTCTGGAGGTCTTGTACCCTTCCATTCTTGTAGAACAGATGTAATGGGATGAAGGGCCCTTCTGCCCTGCAACATCATCCATGAGAAGTCTGGGAGATCTAGGTCCCCGATGTACTTTTGGGGTCCGGTAAGCCTCTAATGAAGGAGTAGGCCCTGTAGGATTCCCTTAAAGTTTGATTCTCTTGAATATAGAGGTTGCTGCAATAGAGCAGGGTAACGATGGCAGCACCATGCTGTCTTCAGAATTCATTTCTTCATGTTGCCCATCGTGGTAAATTGTAGTGCAAAAAGTCTCTTATATTACCTTTTTGCAGGGAACTTACACAATGTAAGTCCACTTACATGAATATCTAAGCCACGCCCGGTCCATACAGTAATTTTAAGTTTGGGATTTTGGACAAATCCCAGATTGTCCAAATTTTTATGAATCACAGTTTATTTGAAATTGAATGCACAAGGGAGACCCTGGATTTGGTTTGCCTGGACTTCAGGGTCAACCTGGTTCTCCTGGATTGAAAAAATCACAAGGACCAAAGGGAGATTCTGGCTTTCCTGGAACTCCAGGATCCCCTGGAAGAACTGGATTTGACGAGGGTCCAGGACCAAAAGGTATGTGAAAAAACCCTATAAGGACCCTTTGATTGGTCAGTTGGACTTAAATAGACAATGAACCTGAGAGATGTCACAACACCTTATATAAACCTGCTCTTAGTTCTTAGATAGCCTTGAACCAATGGAAGAATAATTTTCTGCACAATTCTTTCACAGACCATGAACCTCAGAGATGTTATGTCATAATAAATAGCACAAGTATAATTAACTTTCCTTCCTGTTGTCCAGAAAATTCTGAGACTTTTATTTTGTCTGTATTGGAGATTTTCATTAAAACTCCAAGTATTCCCCCCCCCCCCCACACTTAAAAATGTAAAAAAACACCCGCAATTTTTTAAAATGTATTTAGCACTGAGCAGTGTTTGTGTGTTTGAATGTAAGCATGTTTTTGTATGGCGTATGTGTGACTGAATGTACGGTTGTGTTTGCACTTATTAGCATTTGAATGCAGGCGTGCATTTTTCTGTAGTGTGGTTTTTGAATATGGTGGTGTGTTTTTATGTAGTGTTGACAGTTGGATGCAGGGTTGTATTTGTGTGTAGTGTAGGCAAAATTATGAGATGTATGCACATATAGACACACTGGTACACATACACAGACACATAGGTACACACATGCAGTTACATAGAAATACAGACAAACACAGACACAGATACACAGACACATACAGATACACTTATACAAACACACATACAGATACACAGACACACATGTATAAGTGTGTGTTTGTATAGTGAATGCAGTGTGTTTGTGTAGTGGATAATGGTGGGAGGGGGTGATGGTTTGAAGGAGGAAGGGAGGTGGGGGGGAGTAATAATATGATGGTAAGAGAGAGGGGGTGATGGTAAGAGGGAGGGGGGTGATGTGATAGGGAGAGGCGGGTGATGGTGTGAGGGATGGGGAGAGGGGGGGATGGGGAGAGGGGGGGGACCATGACAGACTAAATACCTTAATTCCCTGATGGTCCGGTGGCCATAATATCCAGTCTGCAGCTCCACAGAGCTGCAGACCATGAATCTCACGAGACCCAGTCAGAGCGTTGCCGTGGCAACCGGTGGCAATGCTCTGATTGACCAGATCTTGTGAGACACATGGTCTGCCCCTCTGCTCACTGCGAAGCTGCAGACCAGTGTCTGCGATGGGCGCAGTAGGGACATCTCACCTGGCGGCATACTGAGCAAGCCGCCGGGCCCCCTCATGGTGTCGGGTCCTCAGTCAGTGCCCCAGGACCCGACACAGTCATGCCTGCCCCCTTTAGTATGCCACTGAATGACTGCATATCATTTTAACAAAGAAAATTGGCATTTTGTATTCGTTTCTAAAACAGGGGTAGGCAACCTTTTAGTAGTACTGTGCCAAAACAAAATCTTGAAGTGAATCTTGTGCACATATATGTGTATCTAGGAGTGTAGATGGCTTCCCTAAGGTCCAGTGGGGACTAGGTCGGCAGGAACAGGTCAATTACAGGAGGCTGTTTTACTCCAGTATGGATTCTCATTCACAAGTGCAGGGAGGAAATGATCTAAGATCACTTCTTCTAAGTGATGCATTGCATACATTTAGGACTGAGCCCCCCACAATCAGGTAAAATGTTGAACAAGTGACTTAAAATGCATAGACACAATATACTTCCCATTAGCTGTGCCTAAACAGTCTGTAGGGTTGTACAGGGATTATGCGTGTGAATTGTCTGTTGGGAGGTATTTGCAAGGGTCTTTATGTGTGCACTAATTATTGTTTCACTATTTCTTAAAAAAGTTATTTGTAAAGGTTATTATAAAGGTTTTTTTTGTTTGTTTTTTTGTTATTCCCTCCTCCTTTTTGACTACCTTTTGCCAGGGAAGAAGGCATGAATTATTTTTGTTTTCTGGTGGTCCAAAGTTTGCAGCTTGCGGTCAGCACCTTCTGTGAGGGCAGACCAATCAACCTTCCATCTTCATTCCACTGTACATTTCAAGTGAGACAGATAGTTGCCATGGAAACCCTCTGTACTGCGCTTACTCTCCAAGAAGCATTGGAGAGAGGGAAGGTTAATCGGTTGTGTCTGCACTTGCTGGAGTTGGAGAAGAAAAACTACCTGCCGCTGACAGAAGGGTGCTCTGTGTGTTTTGGGGGCCATCTCTGTGCCGGCAGGGAGATCAACAGAAGATGGAGAACACCATGGTACAGAGCAACGCCTCATTCCATCCTGCAAGGCAGCATTGGGAGCAAGTGATTTAAACTCACTTCCTCGTGGCCTGTGGAGGCAGTCACACGGGAAAGCCCTGCTACATAGTCTACAGTGACTCACTGTCAGCCTCACAGGGAAGCCATCCTCCTCCAGCACAAAGGTAGGCAAGGAGGAGGGTGGCTGAAACAGAGCTCAATGTGTGTGTGCCTTTACCTATCTATGATATCTAGATTTATCTCATTTTCAAGTAGGTCCTGGGTCAACAAAAAAAGTATATGTATGTGGTAGTGTGTATCTTTGTGTGGCATTATATATTTGTTTGTATATATGTGTGCGTCAATGTGTCCTTTTGAATGGAAGTGCATATCTGTGCTTGTAATATGTCTTTTGTAAGGGTGGATCTGTGAGTGTTCATGTATGAGTTAGTAAGTGTAATAACATGAGCATGTGTAAAGTGAGTTTATCTATGTATGCCTTTTGTTTGAGTACAGGGTCTGCATGAATGTCCAAAGCTCTAGGAGGGGATCTTGATATGGCCTCCTGCCTATGGCCCTTTGCAATCCAAATTTGGCTCTCCTCCAACTGGCTGTTAAGATCCTCTGATCTCCCCAACTGGCCCATTTGGGTCCAGCAACCTCTCTTCATTAACAGATTTGGCAGTTAAAAACTCAACATGGTTTCCAGATGTCACAGATAATTAGACACTGCAGTGTATGTGTCTAGCTATGTGTAAAGAAGCAGTACAGAATTTGTATTGATGAGACTTTGTGGCCTAACAGTTATTGTCACACTATCCTATGATTATTCAGACACTCCATAAAACCCATTGATAGATGTCTTTCACAGGCAGAGTAAAATATATATTTTAAAGGACAAAAATTTCAATTTCCGGCTCCTATTTAATGAAACTAGTTTTGTCAGATGCTAAATGCTACAGTTTTGAAGATTATCTCATGAAGATATTGTTATTGGTGGTGTACCCCTGCCTCTTGTGCTGGTCATATGTGAAGGCCATTATTTTTTATATTATTAAGTCTCAGCATTTATTAGGTTTACCACTGTAAACCTAAACTGTAAACTAGTTAAAATGTTAATTTAATTTAACCCCTTAAGGACACATGACATGTGTGGCATGTCATGATTCCCTTTTATTCCAGAAGTTTGGTCCTTAAGAGGTTAAATACTTGAATTACAGAATCAACCTTTTTATAGGGTTAAAGAGGCAATTGTTTAGACAATCTTGATAGTATGGACTAGCTTGCCCAAGCCCTGCAAACTCTGATGAATTGCACTGCATGTCTGCAACCATAAGGGCACACTCCATCAGCTACCGCAGTTGCTACTGGAACAGATGTGTCCACAGAGGGTGCTTTCTCTAACCTTCCATCTTATATACACTATGGGGTGGGCCCTTATGCTTGTTGGGGCATTTTCAATCAAGTCTTTGTTATTTTCACGCTTTAACTTTGCCCTTACCTATAGGCCAAGCATTAAGAATTTTAAAGCAGATGCTTTATCTTGTAAATTTGAAACACTTTTACCTACTCAAGTTGAATTTTTACAGATTAATCCCAAGTAACCTATTGTTGTTTTCATTAACATTACTATTTGTTCTGAGCTGCTACATACCCCAAGGGAAAGATTGGAGGAGGTGCTGTAGCAAACTCCCCTGAACAAATTGTTTGTTCCTCCCAACTTATGAAAATATAATTAAAATATAACGACAATGTGCCAAAATTGCTAGTTTCCCAGGAATTAAAAATACTTGTTTTCTCATAGCTTTGTATTTCTGGTGGCCCTCTTTCAAAAAGGATGTAAACGAAAAATACATACAAACCTGTACTGTATGTATTCAATAAAAAAAAAAAAAATTCACGCTTTACCATGTAGTCTACTTAAACCACTGGCCATTTCAGAGAAACCATGTTAAATATATTGGTAGACTTCATAGTAAATATACCCAAATCTGGTATCAATACGGTAATTTTAACCATTGTAGACAGATTTTCTACAGATTTAAAAAATTGTCCATTTTGTACCTTTAGCTAAACTACCCTCTTCCTTGGAATTGGTGTAAATATTTGCCTAAGAAGTGTTTCATTTACATGGAATAGCCGATGAAATAGAATCCAATAGTGGACCAAAATTCATACCTTATTTTTCGAAAGAATTTACTACACAGCTAGGGATTAAATTGTGCCTCACTGCTTATCACCCAAAATCAAATTAAGCTGCAGAAAGAACCAATCAAGGTTTGGAACACTACCGGAGGTTTTTTATTTTTAGTCATCCGCACAATTGGACGGGGCTGCTTACTTGGGCTGAATAGACCGGCAATAAGAATTAACGTGAATCCACTCAACAATACTTTTTACCTCGATTATGGTTTTAATCCCACTGTTTGATAGACATAGGCAAGCATAGTACCAAAAACATTAGATTAAAGGTTCTGAGGAAGAAATTTGTTCCACGATATATTGGTCCCTACAGTGTTTGAGATGGTTGAATCCTGTTTTGTATAAATCACAATTTTATTAATGACACGGAGGCTCCTATTATGCTATCTCTTTCTTACTTTATTCCTCAGCAGCAAAGAGAAATATAAAACTGAAAGAGAAAAAATGTAGATATGAAATATAATAACAACAGGTACAACCAGATCTGCCTAGTAACAGGGCAGCCAATCAGCTTAGTAGGAACAGTCCATAAATGTCTTGCTTAGTACTTCCACTTCCTCTTTCTTTGCTGCTGTCCTCAGACCAGCTAAGTATAATTTTACCTCCTGTATATTGATCTGTATTTTGATTGTCAGGGTGATTTCTGCCCTGATTATTTATATTACTTATTGTGGATAATGCCTTTAGTCATTATATTTGTGTTTTGATTGTTTATATCTGTTTTCTTTCCCCTTTGCCCGGTCTCCCTGCTTGTGCTGTATTTCTGTTAGCACAGGCTGGGACCTGCGGCTCTCAGGGGAAGTCTGTTGCACTTGGTGCTTCTGGCTCCCTGTTCCCTCCTCTACCCTCGCGGCCGCGTGTGTGCGGCCGCGTTATCTGCCGGCCTGATCAGTCTCCTCGCACCCGCTGGTGCGAGGGAGTTCCCGGCCACGTGTGTACCACGCGCTCCCCGGCCATTGGCGGGGGAGGAGCGCCGGGTACCCGCGGCGCGCTCTGCTCCCGGCGGCCATCTTGGCTTATCGGCACGCACGTGGCTGGGTCTGCTCGGCGGGTCGGCTCCCTCCTTACCTCCCCTTTCGTTTACCTTTACTGTGCAGGTATTTGTTGTGGGTTACTCAACCCCTGCTAGGTTGTTTGTGTTAGGTCTATTTCATTCTATCAATTTCTGTCCCTGTTAGGATTTTTAAATGGGACCCACCCAAGCATATAACTAATTACCTAGCCCTCCGCATGCGCACTCCTCTGTCCAAGGAGGGGCGCAGCAAACTACGGGCTGAATGCCCAAGGCCTTCAGTGCCTGATTCGGCGTGCAAGACGCCAGAGGTAGATCCTCAAATTACGCAGTTCCTGGCAAAAACGGGCTGGAAGCCCAAGAAGGGGCTGGAGTTCTCGCTCCATAATTGTCAGGACAAAATATTAGACAACCTGGGGCCCGCTGCCAAGCTGTATGAGCTGTTAGAGGCCGGGGGACAACCCCCTGGATTTTGATGAAGCAATAGGATGGGTGCAAAGATTGATTTGCCTTCTCGGCAACGCTAACACGGCCATGTCGGCCGAGTGCCGCAAGGCGATTTTGCTCAAGATCGAGCCAAAGCTAGTGAATCTAGCTGTGAAAGAACCGGGTGCTTCCGCCAAGGGTATGCTTTTCGGAGAGTCCTTTGTTAAGGACCTGGGCTCCTTTGTGCGCGCCTTCACTGCCCTAGACAAAGCCCAGTCTAACTTAAAACGGGTCTTTAGCCCAAAGGTTTTCCATGGGGCAGGGAGGTACAGGAGCCGCCCGCCCGGCCGTGGAGCTCGAGGTCCCACACGGACTCACAGAGGTTCCTTTGCTGCCCCTCGGCCATACCAAGACTACAAACCGGCTCCATTCTTTCCCTCACGTGGGAGACCGTGGCAGAATCACGGTGGACGCGGTCAACCCTCATACAGGCGTTTTCTTATTCAAACGTGGGTGGCAGACTGGCACTGTATTTCGATATGTGGGGACTGATCACCACAGATGTGTGGGTTCTGAATACGATCAAGGGTTTCCGCCTCGATCTGTTATCTCTCCCTGTCCAGGTTTTGACACCACAGGAACTGAGATTGCCAGCAGAGCAGTCCGATCTCATTACCAAGGAGATCTCGGAACTTCGGCTCAAACAGGCAATACAGGAAGTCCCATACGACCACCCGGGGTTCCTAAGCAACCTGTTCCTTGTTGCCAAGAAGGGCGGAGGTGTTCGACCGGTCATAAATCTCAAACACCTCAACGGACCTCAAAGATGCCTATTTGACTATTCCAATGGCAGAGGAACACTGGGACTTATTGCACTTTACGTGGCAAGGACGTCGATGGAGGTTTACTTGTCTGCCCTTCGGTCTCTCTTCAGCACCTTGGTGCTTCACAAAGGTGATGAAGCCGGTAATGGCGTTCCTCAGGTCGCGGGGAGTACGCATGATTATCTATCTAGACGACATACTGATTATGTCCGCGTTCCCCGAACAACTTCTACAGCATCTAGGCTGGACGGTGGATCTTCTGGAGAACTTGGGTTTTCTCATAAATTGGGAAAAATCCATGGTGTCTCTGACGCAGAGAATAGAATTTCTGGGTTTCGAAGTCGATTCGGTCGCCCAGTTTTTGTTCCTTCCGGAAGCCAAGTTAAAGGCTATGAAGAAGGAACTAAGATGTACTTTACGGACCACCAGTCTCTCCATTCGGCAACTGGCGAGGGTCATTGGTCTCTTGGCCTCCTCCATTCAGGCGATTTTTCCAGGACCCCTACATTACCGAGCCCTACAACGGCTGAAGGGATCCCACCTTCGCTCGGGCGGTTCGTACGAAAGCGAACTGTCCCTGGACAGAGACTCCAAGGAGGAACTTCGGTGGTGGTTGGACCATATGGAGGCTTGGAATGGTCGAGCGATCTTCGGCTCAGCCCCGGATATGGAAATAGAATCGGATGCCAGCCTGCATGGCTGGGGACGCTCGCTGTGGAAATGTCTCCACAGGTGGCAGATGGTCCGAAATCGTATCAACGCTACATATCAACTGTCTGGAATTGCTGGCGGGATCGTTCGCAATTTGCAGCCTGTCTCCAACCCTGGGAAACTGCTGCATCCTTCTGTGCATGGACAATGTGTCCGCGGTCAGGTATATAAATCACCTAGGTGGCACGAAGTCAAAACAACTGGCGAATCTAGCGAAGGACTTCTGGCAGTTCTGCCTTCACAACGCGGTGTCGGTCACGGCCGAACACATCCCGGGCTTGGACAACGAATGGGCGGACTGGAATTTGCGATACTTGAAAGACTCAGGAGATTGGCATCTGTTGCCTTCGATCTTTCAACGGATAGATCACCTATGGGGCCCGTTGCAACTGGACTTGTTCGCATCCAGACTGAATGCTCAACTACCCCGTTACTCCAGTTGGAGACCGGATCCATCAGCCACGGCGGTGGACGCGTTCCTGCAGATTTAGCCTCGGGGTCATCACTTTGCGTTCCCCCCGTTCAACCTGATCTCTTAGACGCTGGCATACTTGTCCGGACAAAAGTGCACGTTGGTGGTGATAGTTCCCCTATGGCAGACTCAGCCCTGGTTTCCACGTCTCTTGGAGATGGCGGAGGAGTGTCCACGAATGATCAGGATGCGACCAGAGGTGCTTCTGGATCCGGATGGGAACTCGCATGAGTTAGTGGACCAGGGCCTACTCCAGCTCACGGCTTGGTTGATTTCGGGGGACCCTGGTGTGTCTCGGACGTTCCGCAGGCTACTACAAGACTCCTGGAAAATGCCTGGGCACCGGGTACCAGAACAGCTTACAAGTCTGCATGGCGTGTGTGGTCTGGCTGGTGCGTGGGGAGACTGCTGGATCCCCTTTCTGCCCCTCTGAAGGAAGTGCTCAGCTTTCTGACTGCACGTTTTGAATCTGGTCTGGCCTATCGCACTATCAATGTTTATAGGTCGGCCATCTCAGCCGGACATTTGGGTATTAACGGTTCACCGATTGGACAACATCCTTTTGTGTGCCGTTTGTTGAAGGGTATTCGTTACTCCAGGCCTCCGAAATCAAGATATTCATCGTTTTGGAATGTTAACGTGGTACTGGACTTCTTGGAATCATGGCCCCTTAATGAGGACCTATCACTGAAGCAATTATCCTGGAAATTGGTTACGCTCCTGTGTCTCCTTTCATGCAAAAGGGTCTCAGATGTCAGGGCTTTGGACTGGAACGCGTTATCCTTCACCCCCGAGGGAGTGTCGTTTAACATCTCTAGGAGGACTAAGACGTCCTCTAAGTCAGTGACCTACCCTAGGTGTTCAGTCCGACCTGCTCTGTGTCCGGTAGCTTGCCTACGGGCGTACTTGGATCGCACTCATCTATTGAGATCATCGGATTTATCCCAATTGTTTATTTCCTTTAAGAAACCGTTTCTCCCGATCTCCTCGACTACGTTGGCTCGTTGGATTAAGAATCTTTTATCTGCTGCAGGAATCGATACTTCAATTTTTTCGGCTCATTCGGTCAGAGGCGCCATGGCGTCTAAGGCCTCCACTATGGGATGTCGTCTGGATGATATCCTGAAGGCAGCGGATTGGTCCCATTAATTGTGCACTGAGACCCTTTGAACGTTTAAATAGGTGGATCCATGAACGTCAATTAGACTCTTAAAGTGATAGATTGGAAAGTGAAGTGAACCATTACAGAGGGGTCATGTCAGTAGGCCAGAACATAACTTAGCGGTCTGCCAATCATGGGATGCCTTGATTCAGCAGGACGCCATTCCTCCAGTCCCTGCTCACTCTTTTGGCCTCTATGCACACACCCTTTTTAATGACACGACGCACGCATTCCTGCATCATGATGTCACTGACACCAATTATCATTGTTTCCCTAGTCCTCACATTGTGGGGACGTGGCTAACTTAATTATACTGTCAGCCTATAAAATAGTGGTTGGCCAAGTGCACAGTGCCCTGTTGTGGTTACTTATTATCTAAGGCACTCTAAGGACCTCTATACATACCTACTTTTCTCTGTCCCTCTCTGGTGAGTTCATATACTGCATGTTGGGTTATATATCAGTGACAGCAGTGCTTCTACTAAGTGTTTTTATGTAAATCAGCCCCACAATTCTGATAATATCTGGAATTGGATGCAGAATATTGTTTTTAATTAGGGGCCTCTGTTATCAACAAAATGTAATGCTGTCATATGTGTGAATACAAGTATATATAAAAAAAAAAAAAAATAATGAGCGGGTTAATTGAAACAAAACCTGTTTAAATATAAAACAGCTGGTGAAACTCTTAAAGAAGAGTTCCATATTGATTAATATGAGCTTTGGTAATTTAACAAACAGGCTATATTACTGTCCGTCACCACAGGGTATCCGATCTGTGCTGAATTTATCTCCTGCATCCTTGAACGCAGCATGAGCTCTCATCTTGACCTTTCAGGCCTAGGGGATTGAGTTCACTGGAACATCCTGATTAATGTTGTAGATACTTCTAAGACCGGTTGGGGAAGGAAAAAAATGCAGCAGTGAAATTCAAAGACATATTTTTATTGATGAAACATGAAAGGAACCCTTTAAATATCTTATTTTGTGGAAGAACAGGATAAACTGCATGGAATTGCTCAAACTAATTTGAGCATAATAATTTCTGTAATTTGTCAATTTTAGTTTCATCATTGAGGGCTCATGCTTTTAACAGGAACTAAGGGTAGCAGAACGTATGGAGGAATGCTGCAGTTCACACAGTCAATCAGAGTTTACAATTTACAGTTGGCAATAATTAGCAAGCCTATGGGTGTTGGGGCCCAAGACGCATCTCATGAAGCAGCTGGATAAGTTATAGAGAGGGGATGCATTTTTATAGGTATTTAAAAGACAGTGAGTGGGGAAGCTGTGAACCACGTTCTCTCTCTCTCAGGTGATCTATTATTCAATCATATTCAATCAGGGTTTGGAATTAGAAGTGGATATATATATATATATATATATATATATTTGATCGCTGAATACGCTAAATACTTCAATACAACAATTGTTCTATATACCAAACTGTACACTATGACAAATGCTACATTTTAATAATGTTTAAAAAAAAACCTTGCCAACTCACCAACGAGTTTCTAATATTTCTGGTACTTTGGGCTTGCACTAATGTAGGGCTTTGGTTGTAACGTATCACCTGGCACCCCGACTGGGTACCTCCGTTAAAGGATGCTCCTAGCACTTCCTGAGGACTCCAAGCACTGCAGCAGACACCAAAACCACCGAACCGTAGGGGCATATGAATGCTCTCAAGCATAAGAATGTTGTATACAGCCGAATAGGAAAAAACCATGCGAACAGGTTTACACTCCTAGCAGTCAAACTGGAACAGGATACAATAAATCTCCCCCAATAATGAGACGACACTTCACTTTGAGGGTTAAGCAGGAACTGACTGTATTGGCACATACAGCCTCTTTTATTCCCAATCCACAAACTTAGTACTGCCCACAGGGTTTTACAGAACAACCAATCAATCTGTACAATACACACAGACACTCCCACACAAAATCCTCCCCTCTGCCTGTGATATGATTACTAAACACAATGGTTAATCTAATTATCACAGGCAGAGAAATACAGTATCATAAAACACATCACAGGGACCCCAAAACATTCAATAACCCCATAAAAAGTATATCCTTGGAACCAGGGGATCTGGGTGAACCACATATCCAAAATTCACCCAGATCCGTTCAGTACTTTGGAAGATACAGTTTAATGCAGACTCCACAGAACATATGCAGGCTAAATGAAAAACAATTACTGTATAATGTGTCCCCTGTTGTATAGTCCAAAACCACTGCACGATGTCTCTGTGCACCAAATACCGGCGAGATGGCATCGTGTTGAAAAGTCCAAACAGTGTCTGTGAGTTAAAATGGCCGCCATCCATTGTTCTCACCATGTGCTTCATCCATTGTTCTCACCATGTGCCTCTGATACATGAAATGGTGGCCACCCAGTAACTCCACAGTATGTCCCAGATGGTTCTTAAAGGGCCAGCAGCAGCACAACACAAATCCATTATGCCCAAATCATGTCTTTAAAGGGCAATACATCCCAGGGGCCATAGTCACATGGCAGGAGGCTGGCAATCAGTCTTCTCCAATGCCCAGTGGCGAGGTCGGTTTCGCCACAGTTGTCTATGCTTCTACCTGCATATAACACAGATAGCAATCACCACTGTGCTATTCTGTGTGCCGCATTTAGTTTTCATGTTACCGATATCAATGCCTTGGCAGCAGTTACATAGTCTCAAACTTAAGGCCACAGGGGAATCCCAGAAGCAGTAGCTGTGGGCACAAGTGCCTGGTGGGACCCAAGTCAGCTGTAAAAACGTTCTTAACCAGTTTAACAAATTACACTAAGTTGGTGCTAAGGCACTCCAGGCACCATAACTACTTTGTGTGCTTTAAGTAGAAAACCCTACTTGCTCATTATCCAGGAAAAATACCTAAAAAAATTTTATAATAATTAAATATAAAATAGTCCATTAACTTACACAGTATTAAAATGGAAGACCTGTTTATAAAAATGTGCGGTGGTTGCTATTCGTGGGAAGCAGGAGGACAGCCTACAGGAGGTCAATTGTATTCTGAAGAAATTAAGCCAATATTAATATTTTATATTGTGATATAAAGAGAGATGTATCTCATTCGACCATGGCTAAAATACCAAGCAATTGTTTAGGACGTAAACTAATCTTATCTGAATCAATATTATACAAAGTGTTTTAATTTAACCCCTCCCCCCAATATCCTGCATGGCCAAAAGTATGTGCATGCATACCCATTTTAATTAGTGAGTTAGGTAATTCAACTAGGTTTGTTAAATGAAGCTTCATCAGTGATTCACAAATGAAGTTTTTCTGAAGAAAACAAACGCACAGGTGCAAAGTTCTGGTCACTCAGACTCACAGAAAAGGGTAGCTGAGTGAATAAAAATGCTAATTGTGTGTGTGTGAAGCACTGTTAAATTCAAAACTGTTTCTGTAAACAACTACAAGGTGCAAAACATTTTGGGGGGATCCTCATGAAATGGATTTCTATGCCAACCACACCATTCAACCACACAAAAGCCTTCAAATACTCATCACAATTGAACTCTGGCACAGTACAAATGATGTCCTGGAGTGATGAATCCCACTCGATAATCTGACAGTCTATCTAATGAATGCATGTGGGGGAAACAAAGCAATAGCTAAAACATTGGTCAGAGACCATCTAACAATTGATTACACTAACTGAATTTTACTGTGTAGTAGTTAGAATAGCGCAGATGAAAAAAAGATGGGTCGGTAGAATTTAGTTCATGCTGCTGCTCACCTTGTCCGAATTTCAATAGTAAAAAAAAATTGGGAAGGGAAAACAGCAGGAAAATAGGGTACTATGACTGTGCCACAATATTGCATGGCTTAATGGCTATGAAATATCAGTTAGTTTTGCAATGCTACGTCTGAGTTGCCAAAAGATTATTATGTACTTGGATAATAATAAAAAAAAAAGCATAGGAAGTGGAAGACCTTTTATAATTTGCAATCTTTTTACTTTCACTATCTTGAATCATGAATTATGGGGGGCAGGAATCATTTTAAGTTTGTAAAAGGGGATTTATATAAAAATGGTGGCTATAACAGAGGAGAAAAAGATATATATATATATATATATTTGTGGTCATGGCATAAGCCGTAGTATTAGTGACATAAGACAAACATAGAATGGAAATGTCAGTTGTGGTGTGCCGGAACTGACGAGGAAGTAGGCCTGAAAAAAGAGGGCCTACCTTATAGAATGCTTATAAAAGTGGTGTGGTGGGTGGGACAATTCGCCAGACCCAACAGGTAATGAGGGAAGGGTTTATGCTCCTTAAGAAGGGGAACCAAGCCCCTCCCACAACTTCAGGCCACGCCTTCCATTTGTGGTCATGGCACAAGCCGTAGTATTATTGACATAAGACAAACATAGAATGGAAATGTCAGTTGTGGTGTGCCGGAACTGACGAGGAAGTAGGCCTGAAAAAAGAGGGCAAAAGATATAACCATTTATTGTTCTATAACTCAACACTACACATTACACATTCATGGTTTTGAAAGCCAGGCGTACTTCTTGTACAGGCTGGGGAATGTAGCGGGTATATGCTGTGGATTTCCATTGGCCTAATATTTTGATAATGTGAGCCGGTATATTCTTTTTTGAAGCTGTAGTTGCGGCTCCTATGCGGAAGGAGTGTCCAGAATAGCTGGCTGGGTTCAAACCTAGCCGGATCAACAACATCCTAACATACATCATGAATTTGCTCGTAGTGAGTACATTACCGTGCAAGGATAGGAGAGGCTGTGTTGGAGCCATATTACAGAAAGCCAGAAGAGTGTCAAAAACTTCCACCGGACACCAGATATTACTAGTGGGGTAATAGGGTATAATGACTGTCTGACCTTTGGTGCTAGTTTTGGTGTGGTGTAGGGAAAGTTGATAGTGATCGTGCACCTTTATGAGATCGGATCTAGTGATGAAGGTGAGCGAGTTAACGCTAGTGGTGGTGAATTCTCTGGGCTGCAGAAAACCGTAAAATGCTAGATAGATGGCTGTTTTAATAACACGATTGGTATGGCCTTCGAATGGTGAGGTGTCTAGAAGATTTGATAGTGCCTGGAATAATAGATCGTGGATTGGTAGTCTAGCAGGTGCGGGTGTAGGAGTGGAGTCTTTGATACCTTTAAGTATAGCTTTAACTTGGTAGGAGGATAGAAAGCGTTGTTTGTTAGGCCAAGAAGTGAGTATGTGGTGTTGAATACCTGTGATATACAATTTAATGGTGTTGTATGACAATGTTAGATGAAGGTGGCAAAAGGAGATGAAAGCAATAATGGTCTCCATGGAAAACTGGTCAACAATATTAAAGTCCAACAGAAATTTATTAAATACATCAAAAGCTCTACCATATGCTTTCCTAGTATTAGCAGAAAGACCCAGCTGTGAGAGTTGCCGCCCATGACATAGCAGCTCTCTTAGTCCCAGACCATGTCCTGCCACTGTGGTACCAGAGTTGGTATTAGGGCAGCTGTTGGTAGGGCTTCCCGGAACTCCTGAAACCGAGACCGTGATAAGTGATCAGCTGCAATATTGAGAATACCAGGCACATGAATGCAAGACAAAAGAAAACTATGTTTAGCGGCCAGCCATGTGAGAGTCCTCATGAACCGCATGATGGCCAGGGAAGAGGAACGTCCCTTATTTACAACATGGCATGTAGCCATGTTGTCTGAGAAGCAACGAACCGTATTCCCCGACCAGCCTGCTCCCCACTTAACTGCTGCTGCTACGATAGGATACAGCTCGAATAGTGCTGAAGTTTCCTTAAACCTGGGGATCTCAGTAATCTCTCCTGGCCATTTACCATGCATCCATCTG